GTGTTATGCCTGTCATCCATGCTCCAAACGTAACAATCACTTGTAGTTACGGTTCTAAACGAAGATTAAAAGTAACTGTCTTATTCCTCAGACACCAAAGACACCAGAGCACTAGCCACAACCACGCTCTCCATCAGTCAGTCCAGAACAAGTGGCTTAAACTTACCCACCACCATTCCCAATTCCGTGCATTCGTTCAGAGCAAGCGAAATCGTGTGGCCTCAGTCTTAAGAGTCCGATCATGCAGCATAAATGTACAATGGCGCAGTACAAGGGATTTGCTTCCACACCATGCCGTGATCATCCTCTGACAAAGGCCGCATGTGCATACATTTACATTGCATGCATATAACCAGACCAACAAAATCGTTACAAAAGCACTCGCTTAAAACCGAGCACCATCCTGAGGGCGTCCTTGCTTACATAATTAAATACCAAGACCGTTGCGCCGACACGTCAGCTTGGCGGGGTTACTAATGGTTCAAGTGGCACTTCACAACGGTTTGCTATTCATGACGTTCGGTGTACAACAGAAAAGATTTAGCAGCGGTGAGCGACTCTGCAGCTACCAGTTCGGTGAACGGTGCCAGTGCTGCAGTCGGTGCGGTGGAGTAGATATGTCTGGTTGTGTGATGAGACGGAGTGATGGGAAGCCTTCACGGAGATAACGAAACAATATTTTTGTGGTGAGTGGCTTTCTGTGGTGATGGTTATGCAGCCACGATAACTCGGCAAACACGGCAAACACGGATAACACGGCAAGCTCTCACTCTTGATATGCACGTATATTTGGTTCACCAATCAAATACTTTTGTGCTGCATCTTGAAATTAGGGGCGGATGAGCTGTTGTAAAACATAAAGCCCGGTTAGCAATTTGTGACAAATGCAGGTGGACAATCAAACTCACTTTTGCTCAAATTAAAGCACCTTTTCGCACCAATTCCGTGTTCCAGCATTGTTCTGTCATTATATTAAGTTATTTAGGGGTTCGTGTTAAAGCCCTTCATGATGATGTTCCAACAGCTTCGTGAACTACATTTTAACCTGAAACGATTTGCCCATGATTTTGAGGGGTCAAATCCATAGACATGGCGTTAATATGGAGACAATTATGGAGATGCGCAGCTCAAAAGCGCCGCATTGTTTAACATGATTTGATGTTCTCACTCCAATTGTTCTACTTCCACAAATATCTTTATTTTTGGGGATGCACCTTACGTGCAGGACTTTAACCAGGCACATTGTACAGGTTACCACGTACGACTCTGTCATTCAATTGCCAGCTTCAACCAAGCTTCATTGAGTGCAAGTAGTTTGCTACAGGCTCTCATTTTGTCACATCTTGTGCTTTTACTCTATTTTTAGAGGGCTTGTTTCAAATTTATATGGGGTTTTGAACTGAAATAGTCACCTTGAAGATATATCGGTGCTGTTCACAATCTTGACCTTCTTAAGACCTAAACCACTCTAGTTTCTGAGCTACACGTCCGCAAAAATGGGGAAAGGTATATCGGGGATAGTATTTAAAAGTCACCTTGGCATTTATAATATCAAAATAACATCATTCAAATCCTGCCATTCCATAAACTATGCGGTGATCGAGGCCAATAAAAATATAATGGTCGCAGCATTCTCCAGATACAACGTCCGTCAATTGGCCCTCAATCAATGTTGCGCAAGGTACGATAACGTAAGCAAACCATGACGCATTGAGGAGCATCCTTACCAAACAGACAGTGGTGCTGTCTAAAGCAGTTTTTCCGCTTAAAAGTATACCAAAAGTCATAAGTGTGCCTGTTGCATCACATGTGATGCATTGCTTCAATATCTTCAAACGTGAAATATTCCCTTTAATCATATCGCTAAATCCCCTTTAATCATATCGCTAAGTTGGTTCTATGCTGAAATATCTCTGTGATTGAAGAAAATATTGTTTACACTGATTAGCATCTCTTTTCTTGTGTGAAAAAAATGACATGTATGCATTTTCATTTATTTAGATTCCGACTCAATTTTTCTTCACATTGGGATTTGATTTGTAACAACAGTCGAAGGCGGCAGAATCTGCTGCGGGCCGTTGTCAGCTGTTGCGGACAAGAGGTGCGACTTTTGGGCTCAACATATAGTAAGCAATGCTTTCCGAAGCCCACGTGCGCTTCGAAAAGGGCCACAGTGCTGAGCGTCGTAGGGGAAAAATAAAAACCATGACATTACGTTTGAATATTAGTACGGAGCTCTTATGCGACGTTAACGACCTTCAAAGTACCAGACAATTCTGGTTCAACGACGTTTAAGTGCTAAACAACAATTAGATTGGCGGCATTCTATATTTCAATCTGCGCTTATTCTCAAAAGGATGACTCTCGAGGACGAACTTGAGGATGCGCTTGACGGCTCAAGAGGATGACATTGGAGAAAATTACTTGAAAATCCTCTCCTGACATTCTTTTACCTCTGCGTACTTGGCTGAGCCCTCACACTCTCCCGTACTGCTACAATGTCTTGATCTAATCGCATAGTTACGGAACATGAAAAGGCGTCGCCAAGCTTGGATTTTGTGAACGTGCATGGCTGGTAGCTACATCAGACGAGCCTGCCCTAAAAATAGCCATTCCAGCCACTCCGCGTGCCCACGCCGCGCCACTCTCCAGCGAAACAACCGCAGCAGGTGAGCGCGCGACGGAACGCGCCACACCCACGCAACAGCGCCATCTGTCGGGAGCCGCGCTCCATCCAGCTCCTGCCCGGCGCGCGGCGGGCAGCGGGCGCCGTTGCCGCAGGGGCGCGGCCGGGTCGGCGCGTGCCATCGGCGCGGCGCGGCCGGTACCGCGCGGCGCCCCCAGCGGGTCGGCCGTCCCGCGCGCCCGGCCGCAAGCGCGCTCCGACATTATTCATCCGCTGATTTATTCCTTACGTCTCAATGGCTGGCCACAGGTGTGAAATTATGCGCCAGCGCTGGTAAAAAGCGACGAAACTCGAGAGCCGCAGCCGCTTTTTATTAAAATTCCAATTAGCCGGCGCGCGGGGACCTTCGCTTCGGGAGAAACCCGGCGCGCTTGGAAAATGGTAATGATTGAATCCGGCATACCGGCGGTCAGCCAGCCATGCATCAATTAAATTAAGGGGTTCAATGGAACAACAATGGGGGTGATTAGGTGTTGGGTTCAATGAAAGACACCGCTGGCCGGGGAGCGTCACCTTCCACGCGGCTGCTTATTACCCGCGCCGCTCGCGCTGATAGAGTTGTCAGGCGGCGGCCTGTGATGTGGCCGTCTGCGCGCCAGAGTCGGCTATCTCCCGCCCGTGTCGCTCGGCGGGAGGCGAGTTTTGGCGCGCACGCGACGGGGGACGCAGGAGAGGTGGGGAAGAGGGGCGAGGGAGGGGGTGGTGGTGTTCGTGCAGTGGGGCTTGGGAGGATAGAGACGCGTCCCGCCTGCCACGGTGCAGCGATAACAGCAAAACAGCAGATGCAGTCTGCAGAACAGCGCGCTGCTCACAATTTTGTTAACATTGTGTTGGCGAGATCTGGTAAGACGTCACGCTTATCAAACGGCTCCATGCCGTTCTCCATGTAGGATGATCCTGAAAAGAAGTTAGTTTTTCGAAACCACTGGTAGAGAGACGACACGGAACAGCGCAAACTCAGGCAAGCTCAGGCACGGTTCTAGAGCTGGAAGCATGTTAACCCTGCCTGAAGCCTCCTTACGATGCTAACAAATAAATTAAAACATGTGGCAAGTATATCACAGAATCAACGACATTGCAGCATGCAGCTGAATGCATAATCGAGGCCCACACCTACCGAGCCGCCGCCTTACCAGGCATGCGCGGAGAGCATTGATGAGCCAGCGCGGTATGAGTTGGCCATGATCTGGCCCGGAGGGCACCAACTAAGCGAAAGGAATCCACTGCCGGCCGCCCAGTGGTGCTGCTGCTGATGCTACTGCTGCTGCTGTTGATGATGATGATGATGCTGGAGATATTTTCCCCAGTTCAGCACGATCGAGATTGCCGTGGTGAGCCCTTCAGCTCTTTTGCTGCGAAAACCAGCCCGGTGGTGAACAGCGCGATGTTGTTCCGTTTCTTTCCATGCGCCACTATAAGCCTCATAAGCGTCCCTCAGGTTAAGGGCCCGCCCTCCTCCCATGCTCTGCCTCATGTCCCGCCTTGCTTGAGTTCATCGGTGGCTTTCTCACCACCAACTGAGCCGCATGTGGGCTCAGAGCCTTCTCGCCCTGTTCCGACCCACCACCGCTGGGAAACCTCAGAACCTGCCCGCCCTGTCCCGACCCACCATCGGCTGCGGAGCCTCAGCCTGCCCGCCCTGCTCCGGCCCATCATCGGCTGCGGGGTCTCAGCCTGCCCCCCTGCTCCGACCCATCACCGGCTGCGGGGCCTCAGCCTGCCCTCCCCGCTCCGACCCACCATCGGCTGCGGGGCCTCAGCCTGCCCCCTGTTCCGACCCACCACCGCTGGGAAACCTCAGAACCTGCCCGCCCTGTCCCGACCCACCATCGGCTGCGGAGCCTCAGCCTGCCCCCTGCTCCGACCCATCACCGGCTGCGGGGCCTCAGCCTGCCCTCCCTGCTCCGACCCACCATCGGTTGCGGGGCCTCAGCCTGCCCCCCTGCTCCGACCCCATCACCGGCTGCGGGGCCTCAGCCTGCCCTCCCTGCTCCGACCCACCATCGGCTGCGGGGCCTCAGCCTGCCCTCCTTGCTCCGACCCACCATCGGCTGCGGAGCCTCAGCCTGCCCGCCCTGCTCCGACCCATCATCGGCTGCGGAGCCTCAGCGTGCCGGCCCCGCTCCGACCCATCACCGGCTGTGGAGCCTCAGCCTGCCCGCCCTGCTCCGACCCATCATCGACTGCGGAGCCTCGGGCCTTCCCTGTGCGTGCGGCTGATGGCGGGCCCAGGACGGGAGGAGGCCGCGGGCGCTGGCCGCTACACTCAGCTGCGCCGGCGCCGCCGTGTCGCCCCGCCCGCTGCAGCCCGTCCATGGTGGACGGCACGGTGGACGACTCGGTGGACGGCACGGTGGACGGCTCAGTGGACGGCACGGTGGACGGCACGGTGGATGGCACGGTGGACTACGCGGTGGACGGCTTGGAGGGGGTCTGCGGAGCCGTTCCGGTGGTATTGTGGAGGCAATGGGGGCAGGCCAACCCAGCAAAGGCTGGAGAAGCGGAGAGGTTGCAATGAGGGCGGTTAGGACAAGAGGGGATGTCCAATGCGTATTGGAGGACTCGACAGTGTGCAGATAAAACACGCGGCTTTGTAACCCACCAATCTGCTGCATTCGACCTGGTAAGAACACGCGGGCTTTTGGTCAGGCAGTTGAGTAGACTTGGCCACCTTTTGCTGGTTAAAAATTCAATTGAGCAAATTAATGCGTCCTTCCGAGCACTTAATCCTCGCCTTGATTCATCGTTTTTCATAGACAAATTGATGGGGAGTAGGAGGCTAAAACGACCTTTTCCCTGGCGTTTCCAAGCTAAGACAGAAAGAGCCTCGTGGAAGAAGCAGTGAATTGATATTAATTACAGCTCGCGATTTGTAAAAAGTCTGATGTTACTAGAGCAGTAATTGATTTTATTAGCCAGGTAAAATGTAAACTTTTCCCGAAAATCGAACTATTTCAACCTTACATCCTAATACTTTCGAAATCATGTCATGCAGCAACATGAAGCTCACACAGACGTTTTCGTTATTTACTTCAAAGCACATCTGTAAGTTTTTTTGTTTGCATTTTGAGCATATATTTATGACGTAGAGCTCTGTTAATGAAGCACTCCCGGCCCGCTGCTCATGGTCCGCGGAATCGTCGGTTTCCCCCGCCCCCGCGCTCCCCCCCCCCCCCCCCGCCCCCGCGCCGCGCGTGGATCACCGTACAGTGTTCCTAAGACACAACAGGTTCTCAGAAACCGGAGATGCTGGAGACACGTTTTTTGCGTCAAAACACGCGCAATGAATCCGCTTTAGAGTACCGAAAATTTGGGAGCCATCACACAACATTTAGGAAGGACATCCTTGGAAAATATTTAGCAGGGATGTGCGTCGCATCGGTCCCCTCTATCGAAAATATTTAGCAGGGTTGTGCGTCGCATCGATCCCCTATCAGTGCGAGGGTTAAGCTCCAACCCTTCCAGAAATCAGAGCGTGTTGCCACACAGAGCATGTTTTCAAGATCTGGAAGCCTGAACTGTAACACAGCTCCACCGCCTGTGCATCAAGCGCCACACAATAACCAAGCACTGCGCAGCGGGCACATTCACGCCTCATGCTATCGGTGGCCCGTTTCGTGTCCTTCAGAGGGGACTCGGCGTCCGACCATGGCCACTGTCATCACCATTTAGCGGAGTGGAGGCCGCTTCAAAAAGGACAAAAACCTAATCTGCAGTTGGGGCGAGGCCCGTCGCCCAGCTGATTGGTAATAGCCAGGTGTCGAGGCTTTTCCTGTGTTACCCGCCAATTATGTCACTATTACTGACTTGTAATTAATAAATTTACACCTCCAGTGACGGAGTGATGAGGGGGCTGTGACGTCATTATCGCACCGGCAGTGGGGCTCGTGAGACGGGAAACGGCTCGGGCGGGCTGGAGGGAGGGGGGATATGCTCACAAGAGGCGGGTTCAGTGAAGCCGGGGCGGTGGGCGTCGAACCGGGGAAGGGGGGGGGGGGGGAGGGAAAAGTACCCGACCAATAGCGCTTGAGTTTAATACTATTTCTAGCATGAGGAAGATTCAAGCCGCTTCTATCTCCCTCAATATTTGTCGCGAGTTTCCATTAGTCACAGCCGGTGGCACCGCCCTTCAATAGGGCCGTCCCAGCGCGGTAAAGCGACCACGATTAGCTGCCGTATCGTACCTTGCAAACTGGACATTTCCACGACTTTGCCGCGTATTTCATGGTATTCAGGATCGGAAATGATCCGGCCTTCAGGCATTTTATTTTAATAGATTGGCTCCAAGGTCAACCATTGTAGTGGTCACAAAGCGTGGGTTGAGCTGCACCCGACCTGCATGACATTAAACACAGTGACGGCATGGAGGATCGCTGCTATCAACCGCGTGCGCACAGGCCTGTGTCATACGGTCACATGACCACAACGCATTCATGATATAACGGTCCTGTGAACTGGGGAAAGATGCTCACGATAACATGTTCTTGCTACATGTTTTCATCTGGAGGAGGGAGACGAAATGCACTTTCTAATGGTTACAATTTAGTATTCCTCAGTGCTTGCAACGTTTGGTGGTGTTAATTCCTTCGTTCACCCGATTTTAGTAGCGGCGAACCTCCAAAACATCGAGCTTGTTTGAACCATGGATATAACTGTCACTGTGTCAATGTTGAGTAAACGAATGCCTGAAATTGACCGTGCACTATTTCATGCACATTCAAAGCAGTCAGGTGCCGCTGCATGTGCGGAGGGTGTAAGTGTAGGCGTAGAGGCGATTCTTTCGCAACGCGGCCGGGTTTAAGTTCCTCCGGTAAAAACACCTCCCTCTACTGTGTGATCACTGAATTACCCCACAACTTTCCAATGCCTGCCAAAGGCGGTCAGGCGGCAAACATGCCCGACAAACAAAGCCCTAAGCCCCAGACAAACAATAAGCGATCGCCGCCCAGATCGACCAATCAGAGCTCGACATTCGATAGCTTTTGCGCACCCGGACGATGGCTGGATTCTATTTGCGACCGACAGCGCAAAACAATCTGGCGTTATTTGTCGGCGGAAATTCTGCCGGTCACCCGATATGGATTGCTGGCGGCCAATTACAGAGCAGCGGCGAGCTCAGGCAGAGGGCGGAGGGGACACTGACCACCTGGCCCTGCTGACCATGCGGGCACACGTGACCGTGACCTGGCTGGGCACAGCCAGGTCACGGTCACGAGCCAGGTACCTTGACCTGGCTTGAGGACGTGGGGGGAGGGGGAGGGCAGTCTGATATATGTCGACTCGTATATCAGAGTCGACAAAAGACTCTGACCCGGCTCAGCGACGGGGCAGAGCGATCTCTAGAGACCAACAGGGTGGAGGTCAAGGTATCAGCCATCGTCGCTGGCGGATGCGCAGCATGCTACCATTCTTCATATTATTATATCCGTCAGCATTTCTTGAGAGGTTACGAGCCTACAATTTAATCACATTTGGGGTTAATTTTGCTGAGCGAAAATAACATCAGGCAAAGGCGCCAACAGTCTCCCCAAAAATTAGTCCGATTCGCCATTGAAACCCAACCCACGATCACGCCAGAAACGGACAGCAGCCGCGTATTCGTTGTGTGGAGTGTTGCTCTTCTGTGGTGGGTGGAGTGGCTCACACTGGGCCCGCAGGCAGATTGTGTCCGACTCAAATTTGTTGAGGCGGCTCATGATTGGCTCACAGATTTTGGGATTCGATTAAGCTCATAGCTCACAGCCGTTTCAATTTCTTTTTTTTATTCCGCTCAGTTGAGACCCGCCGCTTGCGCGGACTCATTCGGCTCATGACTCACGCGGCTTGCAGAATAAAATATCCCAATCAGTTCTGGCTCGCTGCGTTATGACTCATTTATATATATATATATATATATATATATATATATATATATATA